TGTTAAGTATCTGGATCTTAATTAAGTATCTGTGCTCTTACCTGCTAATCCTGAGTTGAAAACCACCGTGGGTGAAGACGTCCCGGGCAGTGGGGGTGCAGAGGGGGAGGGGTGGTGGTAAAGGAGGAGCTGGCACAGTCTCCGCTGCAGGACCCGGGAGAGGAGGAGGGGGCGGAGGGGGCGGGGGAGGTGGGGGAGGTGGTGGAGGGGGCGGTGGCATAGGTGGTGTGACTGGACCATTTTGCACTAGCAAAAGAAAAGAAACAAATTGACTTTGAAAATAGGGGAATGGTTTTTCCTGTAATATGTCATGTGTACATAAAGTATCTGAAAACAAAACACTGAAAACGACAAAGGGTTTTTTTTCCAAACACTACAAAATTTCCTCACTGACAAATGGGGATTATTCTGCAACGTACGTAAAATGAAGATTTATAATCTTAATCTCAAAATGTAAAAAGTTCTTAAAATCAATAAGTAAATGAACAGTGGGTAAAAGAAGTAATACAAATATCCAAATACCATCTCAGTTTTTCTGCCAAGGCTTCTTACCTGCTTCAGGTGCATCTGACGATGGAGGTAGTGGTGGTGGAGGAGGGGGCAAGGGTCCCGAGGAGGCAGGCCCCGTTATTGGTCCCACAAAGTTACCCGCGGCCCCTTCAGATCCCGTGGGCAATGTGCCAGAAGCCACGACTGGCAGTATGGCAATGTCCCCATCCCCTTTCTTCTGAATTTTAATGGTCCCTTGTTTCTCCAGCTCATGAATCTTTTTTTCCAGGGTAGACTGTCTTTGAATGGCTTCTTCTTTCTCTTTGACCATTTTCCTTAATGTGTGAACCTGGGTATTTGCATCTTTGTAGATTTCCTGCAAAAGAGCCCATGGTCAAGGGTTTGTCTTCACATGAATTTCCTACCTCTTACCATTAGATTGTCAAACTGCAGATAAAGAAAATGACAAAAAGGAAGGAAGGAAGGACGGGAGGGAGGGAGGGAGGGAGGAAGAAAAACTATACTCATCTATCTAACAATTCTGTGGAACTCAGCCAGAACCTATGAAGTCCCACTTGTTATCAACTGTTCACTGGTAATCCGTGCAATACATTCTAGCAACTGTTCCTGTTAATGTAGTTCCTTCCATGAATAAATGCGGCTAAGTAAGTTTTCCCTGCAGGTGAAGAGGAACAGGGCAGAGATGACCCACAATAACCTTAGAGCTGGCTTTGGAATATCCTGAGGGGATTCTGGTGCTGCATGTTTTCATTTCCTTTCACTTCTTTTAAAATTCATTTGTAACTCTGAGATACGTATCAGCTAACCGTAGACAAAAGGCCCCTAGATCAGACTTGGATAGAAATCAGACTGGGATTTAAAAATCTGCCAATCATGGAATAATCCACTTCTGAGTAACCAGGGGCTGACTGTTGTGAATGCGTTTCTCTGGCCTTCGCAATGCCCCCTTGACCAAGCTCAGGACAGCAACTGTAACATTTTCCCTTTGGTAATGCAGTTAACAAAACAGGCCAATGCCTCCCTCCGCTAATTACTTATTTCTGTCTAGGTTCTTAGCAGAAAACAAAGAAGTTACAATTTTCAATTCAAAGGCCGTCCTGGTTCCTTTTATAAGGGGCCCACAGAGGTTCTAATGAAAGGGTTTTATGGAACTTACTTGCTGGGCCTTGTACACGTGATCTCTCACCACAAACCTCCAGCAGGCAGGGAAACACTCTTCATACCCTGTCTATCATTAATAATCTGAGAGTCTGAACTTGAATTGAGTCCATATGCTACAACTTTGTCTCGCCAGAGTGCCAGGAAATAGATTTCCTAGAGTTAACTGTAGGACATGTCAGAATATCAAGCAATACACACAGACATGATAACCATTGTGTAAAATGTGCCATGTCATTACCAGTGGTGTCAAAGCCAGCCATTTGCCTGAAAGCCCCTCCAGGCATTTCAGTGTTTTTATGTTCCAGACAATTCCAACATCTATTTATGGATGGCACTCCATAAATATCTGACCCGTAAGGTAAAACAATGCTGAAGCCAAACAAAATAGCTGGGATTATCTGATAGTAAAATGGACTGGTTTTGCTTTTTGCTTTGTCTTTTCAAGCACTCTCTCGCTCTCTCTTTTTTTTGGTGAATGCCATTAGGTCTCGCCTGTGTTGATTCCACTGTTTCCATGGCAACCACCAAATCTGGTTTCAAACAGAGGCAAAGCAAAGAAATACAAAGAAGCCCTAGTCCTAATAAAAATAAATCAGTGGCAAGAATTAAATCCACGCTGCTTTTATTTCCAACCAAATGGATGCTGCACAGAATCCACTCGGACTTATCCAGATGGGACAACACTGTTACTCCCAAAACCCATGATAGGAAGTACGGAGCCCACAGCACGTGATCGCGCACATGTGAAGACATACTCTCATTACGTGCACTTTTCATCTGAGTTTCACCTTGGAACTGGTGCCAGTAAATACGCTGCTTAGACACATTCCTCTGCCATGAGCACATCCCGGCTTCTAGCTACCAGGCTGACGCTGAAGCATGTTCCCTGCATCGCCCCTCTGCGGCGGCTGTCATCATCACACTTACTCGAACAACATCCAGCTCCTTGTTCCTCTGCATGAGCTGCTTTTCCAGTTCCACGATCTTGGACATGGCTTCATTCTCCGTGTCTTGCAGTTTTTCAGACAACTGTCAAGTTTTGAAAGGGAAGATGTATCACAACACAGGATCATTCTGATCACGTCCTTGGTTCTCAGAAAGTCTAGCTCAAAGACCACTTAGGGGCCCAACGGAGTCCTGCATGTGTTCCCCAGGTTGTTTTCTGGAAATGTTAATATTTATAAGGTGGTTCTGAACACACACTCCTTTCTAACAGGAATTCGCATATAAGGGATCCTTAATAAAGCCCATACGTCAGCTCCTTAGCACTTCAACATATACAGTGTGTCTTTCTCCATTTCTGCAGTGGCTCGCAAACGTACCGAATAGTAGGTGAGGGAGGAGGATGAGTCACCTTTCCCTCCCTAAGAAAGGGCCATTGGGCAAAAGCTTTTGAACATTGATGACCCAGAAAACTTGGTTCTCTTATTACAGACCACCAGCTGAAAAAATACCACTGCTTGTTTTGACCCACACTATCCAAGTAATAAAAGTCATCTTGGAGGGGCAGTTCAAATAAACAGGTGGCTGCCACAACAGCAGGTTCTGTAAATATAGTCACGCAGTGCGGCTGAGGCTTCAGAAGATGCGGTGAGCCACCAGTGAAACAGTTACTTTTACCAAAGGCTCTAAAACTGGGCAATTTTGGATCTTTTACATCTCGCTGAGAATGATCACATGTAAAGAAAATCAGGGAGGCGAGGTGAGGAAGAGTGGAGATGCATGCTGATCAGGTTCAGAATATAATACAAATATTTTAAGGGAAGAGACCAAAAGAAAAAAGGGAAGAGCTTATAAATGTTCTTCCTAAGCAGGTGCCAACTAAGGCACCACAGCACTTACAAAGGGAGGGGTTTTAGCAACTTGGCTTAACCACAAGCCATGAAGAGGCTCATTTTCAGAATGATGAGAAAAGGGGAAGGACATTAAGCGTAAGTCATTCTCTTAACTAAGAAAATGTGGAGAGAAATCAACGGACCATTCAAAAAGAAAAATCACATCCCTCCAAAAAAGAGGCAACTCATTTCACAATCAAGGACACTTTCAATCAGAATTCAGGAAAAGAATGTGGTCCTCACAATGTTTGGGTTTTTAAGCAGCACCATATTCCTTCCTGTTCACTATACTCAGAGGACACTCTTCTTGAAAGAGGAGGATATATGGGAAAACCTTGCTGACTTCCTTGAAAAATCTTATGGTTGAGATGAACCTATTTAGGACCTGAGTAATCACAAGGCAGGGGAATGCAGACCTGCGTCATGAGGACACCAGGTCCGCCTGTCCAAGGCTTACGTGGGCACATTTGGCAGAACGTGACTCATATTCAGAAGAAGGTATTTCTTCACCAAACTGACATATTTGAGTTGTATTTCCCTCCAGGTAATGCCAAGCTTCCAACTGTCCTGTGCTTACAACTAAGATGGCCAGGAAGGAGATCTGGATGCAGCAGAAGCTGAGCAGTGGATGAAGGCAAGGCAGCAGGTTCCACCTAGTTTTAAGTAACACGTCTGCCTTCTTTGAAAGAACCCAGACTGGCTTCTGCTCGCTGTCTCAAGTTGCAGCTCATTCCTCTGTTCCCAATCCTTCCGTTTACTGCCATAAAAGCTAATGTTTATTCTGTTTTGCACCTAGTTGAAACGTTAGCAATTTTCCCTTTTATGAGATGTAGTTACATGAGAGATGTTTTCTTCCAGTTCCTCCACCCTCTCCAAGGCTGCATTCTTGGTTTCGGCATCTTCTAGCAGAGCCCCCACGTCAAACACGTTGTCCAGGTAAGCCTGAATCTGTACCTGCAGCTTGTCACTCTCGGTGTGTTTCAGCTTCTAAAAATCAAAATGCAAGAGAAGGCAGTGTTAGCATATCTGCAGAAGCATATTGGTTACCCAATAGCCTACATATTTTGGTTTGTTCCCAACAGTCCAGTCTTTTCCAGGAGAGGGTTTTCTATTTCATGTTCTGTGAGAGAAATCTAGAGTAACCATCTAAGAGGGTACCATCAGACTCCTTTCTGGTGATTACCCTCTCCCAAATATACACACATTTCCTCCCTAATCCTTCCTGTAGATATATTCCCCATGCAGATATATCCCAATCTAAAACATTTTTGATACTGGTGAATTCAAGACAACAGAAAAATTAAAAGCAGCTTCAATAGGAAACAGTAGTCACAAGTAACATAAAACTTGAGGGGTATCTGTGTGCTTGAAGAGACTGGAGTGGGTAGTATCTTGCCTGGGTGGGGTGGTAGTTCCAGTTGGGGGTGAGGGGTATGTAGGAGGTGGGGCAGATAGAGTATATCAGCCTTGGGGCTTATTTTAGCACTAACTTCTAGAACCCACCCTCCATAATTACTTAGCTAAGACACTGCCCCAACATGAGGAGCTCTGGGCTTCCAGAGCAAAATCAGGAATCTTTCCCCCATTTACTGCATTCTAGGGCAGGCATCCCAAAGGAAGTTGACCAGCTCTAAGATAACATTAGAGGTCAAGTAAATCAGTCAATCTTTCTTACAAGTACTGTAAGTCATGGCTTTCCCTGGGGAACAGATGAGAGGCTAGAATAGCATCTGGCATGTGGATGATGCCAATAAACATTTACTGAACAAGTCAAAAAAAAACCCAAAAAAAACGGTGATTTACAAGGCGGGGTCCTTGTCAACTAATGAAGCATTTATATATTATCTGCTGATTCTATGATTCTCCTACCCACTTCTATCTATCAAAGTCCAGAACTAATAGACCAGGAAGTTAGAGAAATACGGTTTTGGAAAAAAATTTTAAATTTTTAAAGGAATTCCACTATACAAATAAATTCTCAGGAAAACAGATTTTCTCCTAGGTCTAATCTAGAATTCTACAACTTAGCTTGTTCTAAAGAAAGTATGTTCCATCTTAGTTTAGGAGTCAGAACTGAAAAAGATTTCTGAATAAGGGCAAAGTCTAGAAAAGAAAACAAAGCAGCAGCTGCGGGGGGGTTTTCACAAGATTCACGGGGAATAACAAGTGCTGATGCAACTGCCTGTCACTGTGCACTGGAGCCTGAGATGAGCTCTGCGCCGCCATCACAAAACTGGACCCAAAATATCATTAGGAATACCCCCCATTTTTATTCAAATACTGCTACTCTCACAGCAAGTAGAGAAAGAAGATGGACAAACCTTGATTTCAAAGCAGGAAAACACCATTGGATACAATATTCTGTCAGAGATATTAGTGGGTCTTTAAAAAGGAAAGCCATTCAAACAAACTTTTCAATGGAAATCTATCATGGCTCTACCTGAGTAGAGTCTTTAGGCAACATCAGGCCAGTCAACCCAGACCTGCCCAGCTGGTCTGATCCTCAAGGCCATGTGCTCAAGAGTAACCAACTCTGCAAGTTCACTCTGAAATAACCTTAGGGTACGGTCTGTGTAGTTCCCTGGCTTCACCCTTAACAAAGATGGGCTGGTGAACTCTAGAGCCGTTCAAGAGAAATACTTCTATTTCCTTTGTAGCTAGAACTGAGGTCAACAATTCTTGTCCTATCACAACTGGTCTTTCAAATTCAATTGGTCCATTCCTTATGGACCAAAGGAAACCAAAACTGCCCACAAGTCAAAGGACATGAGTATGTCCTGTGCATGCACAGCTACCTAGGTCCATTTACGATTTTCACATCAACTTTCTGTTTCTTAGCTGAAGAATTTCAGGGAACTGGCTGAGCACTTCTATAAGGGAACATGAGAAAAAGAAACTCTAGACCCTCCCTTCTCCTAAGAACTGAAAATAGAATTTCTAAAGCCACAAACACTTTAAGCAGAATTTAACAGTTACATGAGGAAGTCTCAAGTGTCCATTTCCTCATTATTTTTTGATGCTCTAAGCATTTATTCATTACTCTATGGCAGTCTTGGTTTGACATTCCCTGCCCAGATGGAGTCCCAAGAGTAACCAAGAATGCACATTACCCAACAGTCTGGATGAAGAGTGCGGTGAGACTTGACCCAGACAGAGCTCAAAAGCAGAGGAAAGCAGGGGCTGGGAGTATAGCTCAGTGGTAGAGCACATGCATAGCATGCACGTGGTCCTGGGTTCAATCCCCAGTACCTCCATTTAAAAAAAACTCCCCCCGCCCCCCCCAAAAAAAAGAGGCAGAGGAAAGCTGCAACAAGGCTATAAAAGGTTATCTGACTCTGGTACTACAGGGCTGCTGGCAGAAGACAGTGTGACGTCCCAGAAGGTCGGCAAGAGTCCAGCTTCTCTGGCAGATCACATCACTCAGATTAGTTCTTTCAACTAGCACTAGAGCAGTTGACTGCATAGAGCTTTAAGCATTCTTTGGCCACTGGAAATGTATCTTTGAGGGTAAGCAATAAATCAAGTCTCATATTGGAACCAAAGGCTACAGTTATACTCACGTCCAAGTATTCGTCCAGGCCTAACTTGGTAAATTCATACTGGAGGTGAACTCTGAAATTCATGTCTTCTACTGAATGGACTACAATATTAATAAACTGCATAGAGGCCACCTGAAATGAAATTGTCAATAGGTTAGATGGGCTCCAAACTTGTTTTCTCAGTTTAATCACAGGCAAATACTTTCAATTTCATAGATCTAAGCTCACTCACCAATTTCCTTTTCCTTTGTTTATTGGGTCTTTAAAAATATTTTAGAATTTTTAAAAATTCAGAAGTCATAGAGGTACCACAATAAGATACCACTTCACATCTGTAGCCATCAAAAAGAAAGACAGTAACAAGTGTTGGCAAGGATATGGAAAAACTAGAACCCTCATCCACTGCTGGTGGAGATATAAAACAGTGCAGCCACTTTGAAAAGCTTGACAGTTCCTCAAAATACTATTCAGAATTACCATATGACCGAGCAATCCCACTTGTAGGTCTATACCCAAGAGAAATGAAAACATACATCCATATAGAAATTTGTACACAAATGTCCATAGTAGCATTATTAATAATAACCAAAAGGAGGGGGACACCAATGTCCGTGAACCAATGAATTTTTAAAATGTGATATATCCATAGAATAGAATATTATGCAACTGTGAAAAGGAATGACACATGCCACAACATGGATGAAGTTGAAAATATTACGGTAAGTGAAAACAGTCAGTCACCAAAGACCGCATATATTATGATTCTATTCATGTGAAATACCCACGATGGGAACATCCATAGAGACAGACAGTAGGTTAGGAGCTGCCTAGGACTAGGGGTGGGAAAATGGAAAATGACTGCTAGTCATTTAGGGGGCAATAACGTGTTCTAAGTTAGATTGTAGTGATGACTGCACAACCTACAAATACACTAAAAGTACATTGAACTGTACACTTTAGATGTCTAAGTTAGATGGTATGTTAGTTTTATCTCAGTACAGCTATTTTTTAAAAGACTTATTACAGGT